CGTCCGCTCCACTCCCACATAACAACAAAACACACGCTATTATGTTAGAGATTTGTCCTAGCTAGCTAATATTTGGTTAATTATAGTGGGGCTTAAACGCTAAGCTTTTTAATTATGATAATTAAAAAGGCAAGAAGATCTTGAAAGATGTTTTGCTTTTTAGGGGGGGTGGTAAATGTTTTGAGGAAGGTCATGTCAAGATTCTCATGCAGATTTGTCTTTCTTTTGGGCAATACTTTTGGCCTTGTATCATTCTTCCTCTCTCTCCTTTGTTTGTTGTTGAAGCTCTCTCTCTCTCTCTCTCTCTCAAACACACTCTCTCACTTACTTTGTGATTCCATCATGGAGAATGATGGATGATGCACTCCCACCCAAAAAGAAACACAGATAGACCTCCACTAGAAAAAGATTAATTGCATTTGCTTGCTTCAAAATGCGTAGGAAAATTTCTTTTGTCGATATATAATATAGCTACTTGCATGAGTGCTACTTTGAGGGTTTTTGTACTCTAGTCATCCTTTGTGGCCAAACTTTCTCTTTATCACTCTATCAAGTCGGGGTGTGCAACGGTCGGTTCGGTTCAGTTTTTACTAAAATTTGAACAATCGAACCGAACCGTCTATAATTCAAAATCGAACCGAACTGTTGCAAGTCGGTTCGGTGCGGTTCGATTCGGTTTGTTCGGTTCTAACTTCATCAAACTTCTTATCAAACAACAAATTATGTTAAAGAAAAAAAAGATATCAACAAAGTAGGAGATTACGAAACATTAAACACTGATATAATGATATTGTTTTCAACCCATAATGATTCAGAAAATGAGTTTAGGGTTTGAGTCTTTGACTCTTTGGGGACCGGTCGGGTAGGGTTTGAGATCAGAATGGGTAGTATTGCACTATATTCGGTCGGTTCGGGTTGAAAAGTTTTCAAACCGACCCGAACCGCCCTATTCATAAAACCGACTTTTTCGGATCGGTTCGGTCGGTTTTTTCAGTTTGGACCGAACCATGCTCGACCCTACTATCAAGCGTAATAAAAATAGTGAATTAATTTTTTTTTCTTTTCTCTCTATGAAAGACTAGACCGTTCAAGCAATATCCAAAGTCCACACCTCTTTTTGCCACACTTTCTTATTATATTATATATATATATATATATATATATGGTATATATATATATTATGCTTTACAACAACAGACCACGCATATTAATATTGTCAAGCAATTAATTATTTAATGGTTGACTTGCGGATAATTTTGTGTCGCCCGTTATTTCTAGGCAACCAGAGAACATTGGAATGCGTTTATATATATATATTATATATATAATAATATAATTATATATATATATATATATATATATATTATAAGTTTTATGTCCTACAAGTTCTCGATGTGTCAATTTAGATTGATAAGTAAATTGTTTCTAGCATATGATTTCTAGTTCATGGCATTCTACTCCTTGATCACTCTATCAAACTATTCAACGGCTGAGAAAAACTCTGTACCCCTTGCCTAAGTAAACCATACATCTCTCCAAAAACCTCAACACAAATCAACAACTTTGGTGTCCAAAATGAAGTGTTACGTTTCCAACAGAAAAAAAATGCATGCAATGGCATCATAGTTGGTTATGATTCATCATGACCCTAGGTGTATTTATAAATGTCCCCCTTCTATTAATTAGGTATAATATATATATATAATACAAACCTTAATATCTCCTTAACCCAATCCTATTGGCTAGCACTAGAGCACAAGAGCTGCCTACTTCATACATGAAACACTCTAATCTTCATGTAGTACATACTAAATTTCAGTACAAAGTAAGTATAATATTGGGGCCATGTATCAATAAAGGGCCATTTTTATATTAGATCAACCAGAAAATAAAATATTGTGAGATAAAACCTAAAAATAATAAAAAGGCTCTGCAGCCTTTCTGAAAAGAAGGGCCGTCGGCCTTAAACAATCTAATCTACAACCTAAATCTCACTTAATTTATCCTAATCACATTATTAAACACTTTTTTACCTGCCACAGTGGCTCTTTTGGTAATTTATCACAACCAGAAGCCTTATAACATACGCCCATTAAAACCAAAACAGAAGAGCCAAGCAGAAAGCAGGAACAAAAGCTGACAAGAACAGTGGCATGCTCCCGTAAATGACGCCAACGAGCAGGGGCAGTCCTGTCCAATGGTGCGGTGGTACAGCATAATTTCTGACCATCACCCGCGAGTCAGCAGAAGCAGAGAACAGAGAATTTAGGAGGGAGAGAGCGAGAGCGAATCTGAAAACTGAAACCGAGCGCCAAATTTTCTCTCCCTCTCCCCCCCTCTCTAAAACTTTTCTCTCTCCTCTCGATCTCTTCCCAAAATGCCCCTGCTAGTTGGGATGGCTTGGTCCCGGAAATCGAGCCATCACGCGTCCTTTAACTTCCCATTGTGCTCCTCTCTCTCTCTAAAAAACCTCTTCTCTCTTTGATTCTCGATTCAGTCCATGGGGTCGCCGCGTAGGAGGCGGCCGCGGCGGCGGGGAAAAGCGGTCGCCGGGCGAGGAGAGAGAGGCCGGAGGGCTACGGACGAAGCCAGGCCGGCCCAGGCCGGCAGAGGATCTTGCCGCGGGAGTTAGGGTTTCGGGAGATCGCCGGTGCTGACGTGGCAGCACTCTAGGGTTTTGGATCTGCTTTCGCTTTCTTGTTTCTGAGTCGAAATCGATGGGTTCTCAGCTGAGAGAGGCTCTCAGGTGCCTCTGCGTTGAGATCGGATGGAGCTACGCTGTGTTTTGGCGATCGATCGGATCGAAGAGTTTAATGTGAGTTTTTCTTGAAATCTAGGGTTTTCGATCTTTGAAATTTCACTAGTTTTGATAGTTTGAACGGATCCGGAAAGGAATCTACCTTTATTACGCTTTTCTCCTTTTTTCGAAAAGTTGTTTGTTTGTATATGTAATGTGACCTTTTGATGTAATTAGCGACTTTATACATTTTTGTCGAGTTATGTTGTTGTTAATTATGTAATTAGCGTAAATTATCATGTTTTAATGGAATTTTGGCAGGCATTTAGTGTTTGAAGATGGGCATGTCGTTGATAATAGATTGGAAGTTTTGGTTAATAAGATTATGGCACAGCAAGTTCATCTTCTAGGTGAAGGGTATGACAATTTGTTGTCTATAAATTTTCTACTTTCTTTTTTTCATTCATATATTTTTTTGTTAACTGAGTTATTAATTTGCTTACTTGAATCCCCATCCTTTACTCTCAAAAGGGGGAAAAAACGAATTACTGATTTTTATTGAGGATCGTGTGGATTTGTTGTGTTACAGGATGGTTGGGCAAGCTGCTGCTACCGGAAGTCATCAGTGGATACGTGGAAATAACATTCATGTTGGTGACTCGGGTGCCCAGGTAAACCTTTAGCACGTGGTCAGTGATATGGGTGTCAACAACTTATGTAGCTTTAGTAATTTGTGGTGATTTGGGTGTCAACAACTTATGTAGCTTTAGTAGTTTGTGGTGCGGATTTCCCTGTCATTATACCCGCATGCGTGGTCGTGCTCACTTTTTATGAACTTCTGTCTTGATAGAGCCGTAGAGGGACTTCAAACTAAAGACGCATCATTTGCTGTTTTGGTGGATCTGCTAGCTTATATATAAAAGTTTTGTCTGATCAGCGATGCAGCTACTCTTCTTGTAGTGTGTTGGGCCATGACATTAGAAGCAATGATGACTTTTGTAAATACCCCAACTCTTGAGAGGGTGATGTGATTAGTATTGATAGATTTGATTGGAATACTCATACCACCAAGATGCATCTTCTTTTCGGAAACCCAATTCTTAGAAACTCCAAAGTTAAGCCATGTCAAACGTGCTGAAAAGACATGTGGTGGTTTGTGAGGCCAGTCCATCAGATCTAATAGCGTACCGACTCCGGGATTCTGGGGCGGGGCGTTACAACTTTGATTATATTGAATATATTTAGAGAATGTGTGCGCATGCTTGTCTTGTGCATACGTTAGAGCTTTTTCCTGCCCCATTAGAATGTTGAGGCATATTCAATGATGATTAGAACTGAATCAAATCAGAAACCAATTACACGATTATCCCTACTTGCTGTGTAGCGCCAAACTTGAAATATTGGAGTGTGCTTGCTTCCAAACTGCATCACGTCATTAAGCTATATAAAGCGAGTGTGCCCTCGACTTAGAAAATAGACCTATATTGGAGAATTAACAGTTCATGCTTTTGAATTCTTCGATATTGTTACCACTCAGCTCATCATGCATGGATAATTTACATGCCAATTAAATCGATTTTTGAAGTTATGCAAAAGTGAATTTCTAACACTTTTTTTTTGGGTTTGGGTCCTTAAAGTTTAAAAACTTATTGTATAGGGAACAGATCCTTGAAATAGATATGATTTCCTATGGGATCTCTAGATGTATATCCATAAGGATCTAAACATGGAAACCTGTTGAATCTATGCATAGTTTTTGATGTAGCTGATAAATGCTGGGGACGCCAAAATTAAACATATACCATCCTTTTGTTTCTTTAGGATCTGGGTGAGCTGAACCATCAATTCTTAGCAGGCATACAGGTTAGAAGTTCTTTTCAAATAATTTACTTTTTACTCCAATTTGCTTTGCTCTTTTGATTTCTGTATTCTTATTATTCTTATTAGTGGCGACACTGTATTTCTTAGAGTTGTTTCTTATGCTTCTATAGGCGATTGCTGTTATTCCTGTGCTTCCACATGGTGTTCTTCAACTTGGTTCTACCCAGATGGTAAGTTCTTCTGTAGTTATTCTGAAGTAGATTATTTAAGGGCTGTTTCTCTGTCTATGCTTGAATACAGTTCATTCTCCACTAATTGCAACTTGGTCGTTACAAGAAATCTTGTTCATTCTCCACTAATTGCAACTTGGTCGTTACAAGAAATCTTTTGATAAACATAACTGTGGAGAGCCAGGGAACTTATCTTTTTGCTTAGGGGCAGAGTAAAATGGATATACTGTATGATTGTACTTCGAATCACCTTTTTATTTAAAATTATGACAGTTTCTGATGTGTAAGTGTTGAGTTTTAATTCTTTAAACAATGTGTTTGTTTTCCAAAAGCTGAAATGCCAGTAAGAGACCTATAATTTCTCCTTATTATGAAATTTCTTTGAAAAAGAAGCCGATATATGGACCTTTTCCCTTCTTTCTATTAGAGAATCTGTAGTTTAGCAGTGGAGACAGTGACATGTTCACCCAGCTCCCTTCTCCTTGTAGCGAAGTCTAGTATATAAATTTTTTTGTTTTTTTCTTGAAAATTCTAGAAGTCCTTTTGGAAGAATCACTCTTTTTTTATTTGTTACTTCCTGCAAATGCTGTAATTCAATACTGTTTTGCAGGTTATGGAGAACATAAATTTTGTAAACCATGTGAAAAGTATATTTGCACAGCTGGAAGGTATGAAGGAAGCTCTTTTGCCTGATAGGTCTAGGCAAACCTTGGGCCAAAATAGTCAAGTAAGTGCTGCAACTAATATACCAATCTCGAGACGTTTGCAGTATAGTAGATGGATACTTCTTCATACTGATTGAATCACCATTCCTCAAGAGCTCAAGCTTAGAAGTCTTGGTCTCACTCATTTTCTGTATGACTGCAGCTATGTGATGGAGTATCAGTTACAGCTTCGGAACTGCTGCCAGACAAACTGATCGTCACAACCACATCAATTCCTCTTCCTGATGCATTACAGCCAAGGATTCATCCAGCCTCTAAAACGAACCTGCATTTTAACAGCCAATTTGAGAGCAAACCTATGAGAGTTCATGGTATGCTTAGCAATCCAGGAACAAGATTGATCCAGCCGGCAGTCTCACATGATTCAACCTCCAAATATCAAGATCAGTCTTCGCTTTTTACCACTAGTTCCTCATCAAGTATCTTTCCATTTCATGAGCAGCAGGTTGCTGCATTTAACATCAATTCCTGGGAAACTGCTAAAAGGGTGGAACCTGATTCAGGCAACAACAGAACATTTTCTCCAAATCCCCATGGATCTGTATTTCCTGACATGCTCAAAGATTCCAATAGCAATTTATTTTCTGGGGGAAGTGAAACAGGTGGTAGTGTTTTTGGAAGCTTTACATCATTACTAGGTGGAATTGGGGAAACTAGTAAGATCATTTCTGCTGACTTGTCGAGTAGCGAGACAGTTCAAATGTTAAATGAGAGAACTCTTTCAAAGAGCCAAGGGATTCAGGTAGATACTTTCCCAACACACTTGTCTGTCAACACCTCTGAACCTGTGATGACTACAGGAACTCAAAGGCAAGAAAATGGTTTATTTAAAGCTTGCAATACTCCTTTTTCTGAATCTGATGTTAACAGTTTCTGCAATCGGGCGCTTCTTGGTACCCTTCAAGGATGCAGACTGACAAATGCTTTTCAAGAAAATAAAAGAGATAGCAGTGACGCTTGTGGTTCAAATGGTCCTAATATATCACAACTGAAAATTGAGGACAATGAAAAGTCTAAGTTCAGTCACGATGTCCTCCCCACACAATTTACTTCAGGAGATAGTCTGTATGACATATTGGGTGTTGATTACAAAGTAAATAATTTTGGAGGTAGTCTTGATGTACTTATAAATGACGATGATGCAAGCGTACATGAAGTGGCTGCAGATACTTCCACTTGCTCGGCAAGGTTGGATGTATGTCCTATGAATCAATCCCTAGACGATATTTCTGGAGTTGGAATATTCTCAACACGTGATACTGACCAATTATTGGATTCTGTAGTTTCAAAGATCAGTCCAGGCGCCAAAGAGAACTCAGATGATGGTGTATCATGCAGTACTTCAACCAGAAACACTTCTACTCCTTCAGTTCCTGTCATTTCTCCTTGTTATGAATTGTTAGCTTCAGAAAAGATGCAAGGCGAGTCTTCCTGTCTTCCTCCTTTTGGCAAAGCTGAAGGCCTAGGTTGTAGTTCAGCTAAACCTTCACGCAGTTTGGGCAATAAAACTGAAGATTGCTCTCTGAGTGCTGGAATCTCTAGGTCTCAAATTAGCCTTTGGGTTGACAGTGGCCAGAGCACGCATAGTGATAGTATATTAGGCACACAAAATAAAAAGGTTGACCAAGGCCTAAAGATCGGCAGATGATAATGGACCGCGTGAAGGAACTACGAGAAATTGTGCCAAATGGCGCGAAGGTAAAACTTATAGCTACTGACTTCTTGAGTTAGATATTTTAATACCATTCACTCATTATCTTTGGATCTTTTTAAATCACATCTTCTTGTTCTTTATATTGGGTAAGCAGTGTAGCATTGATGCTTTGCTGGAGAAGACTATCAAGCATATGCTCTTTCTGCAAAGCGTGGCAAAGCATGCAGACACACTGAAGGATATTGGAGAACCCAAGGTCTGTAATGAGCTTTTTATTTGTTTGTCCTTGTTATAATCTTTTTAACCCAGAATATGTTAGTCAGAGAACATTATGCTTACAACTGCTATTTGTTCTGCCATCTGCTTGTGTGCTAATGGTTGTCAGGAATATATGTTGATAGCAAACCATGATGCCCAAAATGTCTGCTATCTGTTCTAGGCAATCTTGTTGCATGCTAATGGTGTTGATAGCAAACCATGATGCCCAAAATGTCTGCTATCTGTTCTAGGCAATCTTGTTGCATGCTAATGGTTCTAAAGAATACCATTTCACTTATCTGACGCTGCTATCTGTTCTAGGCAATCTTGTTGCATGCTAATGGTTCTAAAGAATACCATTTCACTTATCTGACGGACGAGAGTGTCAGACTGTGACATGGGCATGAGTTTTGCATGCTGATGTGGACGAGGGTCACATGCGCATCCACGCGCATCACAGATTCACAGTCACACGCACAAGCACATACATCCAGCACACATGCCTTTGAAGCCAATTTCACAGTATAACAAAATGAATGTGTCTTCAGTTAATAACAATTGAACTTCCTCTCACATTACTGTATCACTGATCAAATTGTGTGCCATGTGTTATTAACTTCTTGATTTAGCATGATGACAGAGTCAACTATGAAGTAATAACTCTAAGTATGTCTTACCTGTACCTAATGGATGAAGTTGTAATGTCTTCATTGGCCATAGTTTAAACCACATGGGGTTTGCATTGGCAGTTTAGATGCATCCAGCTTGCATTGAATGAGCTCAGCCTACGAGTTTCTGCTAGAATTTTGAGAAATTCTGTAGGTCGTTAATAAAAAAGCTGACGCTGGTTTCCTGTAGCTCATTGATAAGGAGGGAGGCATACATTTGAAGGAGAAATTTGACGGTGGTGCAACATGGGCTTTTCAAGTAGGCAGCCAGTCCAGGACTTGCCCAATTATAGTAGAGGATCTAAAACCACCTCGTCAAATGCTTGTAGAGGTAAAGTGAATTTTGTTCTTTTTTACATAGAATAACTTTTAAATATCAGTACTGTCGTTCTTTATATACAGTGTAGAAAAAGGGATAAACTAGTGGAGTGTTTCTCCTCCACAGATGCTTTGTAAACAGCGTGGTTTCTTCTTGGAGATCGCTGAATTAATTAGAGGACTGGGGTTGACCATCTTGAAGGGGGTGATGGAAGCTCATAAAGATAAAATATGGGCTCGCTTTGCAGTGGAGGTATTACCAACTTTTTTACATTCACTGATTATTTCCAATCTTGTTTACATTCAATATTGAATTATCACAGCATAGTTAAATTTGAAGTTAATGTTAACCGACATTCGCACGTAGCTGCATAGATCTGAATGATCTACATCTCAATTTGCAAGCATCATGTATAGTTCAAAGTTGTTACTGACTGTCATAATATAGGCTAATTGGGATGTGACTAGGATGGAGGTGTTCCTGTCCCTTGTTCGCTTGTTAGAGTCAACTGTTGGGTGCACTACAGTTCCACAAGATGTAGATAACATCAACATACTGAACAATATGTATCATCCATCTACTATTTCCGCAACGGGTACATCTAGTAGTCTTCCTTGAACAAGTTATCTACTCCACATTTTTTATTGCCCTGGGAGGTGCTGAGAGCGGGATTTGCTGGCCTGCCATGACTAGCATTCCGGTGGCTGTAGAAGTCGAAGGGCTATCGAGGGCATAAATTTGAATGTCAAGCCATAATGGCTGGTATTTTAGGTGTTCTCTCGAGGGACATAGTGAAGCTCCGCTTGTTCGTATCTATTGCTACCTCATTTATTAGTTGAGTTGTTTTGAGGTTGTACGAATAATTTGGCTTTCTTGTATTGCTTATCATCAAGGTCTGCGGTTGGCTAAGTACAGCAAATGTACAATTGACTGAGAGTTAGGATGGGGTGTGCTTGTGCTATCATCTGAAGTATCTTTCAGCTTCTTGATACTTTATTTGAGGTTATATAATTCGAATGATGAATCTGTGAATGTAATGGCATCATTTTACGAGATGGCTCGTTGAGATTGAGGTATCTACTAGTTTCTATGTTTTTCGTTACAGGGACAAGCTGCAACATGTTTTGTGCTTCACAGTTCACACATTCTTCTTTGGGACGTTTTGTTCACAAAATTGATTGATATACTGCTATTTACCCGCAAATTAGTTAAATTAGCCTTCGATATGATTTGAAAGTTCTGCTCAGGGTATTTGTTCGTAATGTTGGTCAATCTTAATCTGGATAGCTAGTGTATAAATCATGTTGTTTTATTTTCTTTTACAAGAAATAACCATAGTCTGATGTTAGGTCTTTCACATTTTGCTTTTCCCATCTTTCGCCCAATTTTTTTTTTTTCAGGAACCTTATTTCAAAGTAAATACACTTCTGTTCATTCATGTCAATAATTTATCCTGTTTTTTAGCGTGGGCAGGTTTACTGTTTTTTAGCCCTCCCCTCCCCTCCCGTCCCCTCCCCTCCCCTTGTTAACTAAAAAAAGTATAAACAAACACAACTTTTAGGGGAATTATCACTGTAACCTCCCCCCTTCTTCCTTCCCCAAAAAAACTTTACCCAATGTTAGTAATCTAAACATCCCCTACCTCAGGAGCTTGTAGCGATTCCTTTCTAGTAGTGTAGAAACATGAATGATTGCGAACCTGCAATGGTCAAAGATGAGATGTTTAGTTACGCCCCCGGTTTGAAAAATTGCCGTCAAGCTCTCATACATACAGAGTACAAAAAAGCGAGAGATCCACATCTCCACCAACAGTCATTGCCACGTCACCTTTGAAACCAGAACAGTTGGTCCGCCCGCAGGGACCCCCAATCAATAAAAGAACCTTACCCTTTTCCCCATCACGATCAGACTTTCGCCCGCTGGCCCCTTTACCCTACAAAATTAATAAATAAGCAGAAACCTTTCCTCGTGAATTATTGAAAGTACCAAGCCCTTCAGAGCCTGACAACCTCTGAAACGCTATGATTAGACGCGTCAAACGATAGGCTTCGATTCAATTCATTTGTTTCCCCCCTCCTCCACTTTGAACAGTGGGCGATGAGATTGATGTTTGTCCCCTCCACTTCTGATATCAGAACAATCCAAATCCAAATCTCGTTTCAGTAAAAAAAGTAAATGATCGAGGAACACTTTCACACTACATAAACCATACGTATATATATTATTATTAGTATGAAATCCTTGCATGTTCCTTATTGGCATTCTATTGAAACAATATACAATCCTCTGATATTAATTTTTTTTTTTTGTTCTTCTTAATGGACTCGCCTACTCAAATCCCAAGCACAAATGATATCGAAAGTATAACGTACCCCTGTGACGATCTAAAACTATTCTTCTATACACTAACATCCCTTACCCTTCCTGCAGATTACTTTACAATCACCTTAAAAATACACTCCAAATCTATAAACCTGGAGCAACTTTTAATTAAATTCAAGCTACGAAGTCCGGCAACAGCTGAGCCGCGAACCTCTTCCTGCTCTGGATGTTGATGCTCTCGTA